CCCCCTGAGCCTCCTTTGCTCCAGGCTCAGCCCCTTCCCAGCTCCCTCAGCCTCTCCTGGGGCTCCAGCCCCTTCCCAGCTCCGTTCCCTGCCCTGGACACGCTTGTAAATTAAGGTAGTTTAATATCTCTCAGATATCTTGCATTAACCGGAGCAGTGAGCTGGGCAGTGTTTCAGTTTATAGATTCCAGTATCTTGGACAGAAGGTAAACAGGAGATAGTTGTGCAGGCAAGACTTCAGCTAGCATAAATAAATGTAAAAGCTGCTGCCACCTCTAGCTGCAGGAGCACAGTTAGAGGGGGAACCAGCCTGGCTTTAGGGAACCAGCCTGGCTTTAGGGAACCAGCCTGGTTTTTGCTTGCATTATGATGGAATACCAGCAGATGAAGAGATGCTTTAGGGCAGGAGGCAGAGGAGCTGGCCCTCACCCTGGCTGTCCCTGTCAGGGGCACAGGCTCCCCGGAGACATTTGGTTTTTTTCCTGTATTGGATCCACATGCTCTCTTATTAATGATTTTCCGTGCTCCCAGTTAGGTGTGCATGTGGGTTATTTGGACAATTGAGCAGTGCTGGTCAGTAAATGAGCTGGTGTAGCTTTGTTCCAGCCCTTACTCATAAATTCTGCAATGTTTATGTCTCTGAACTTTGCTGCAGCCAGCCCAGCTGTCTGTTTCCACGGTGCTCTTTGGTTCTCTGACATGTCCTCAGAATGTGTTTTCCCTCCGAGATGCAGTAATTCCCTGGGGAATGGGCTCCAGAGCCCTGGCTGCAGTGTGGCTCTGTGGAAATCTGCAGCTCCACTGGCAGTGCCACGCAGCTAATGCAATCTGTCGGGGATCAGAGCTGTCCCCACGGGTGTCCCCAGGCCTCGGGGACAGCCTCGTCCTGCCTGGGTGACATCTCAGGCTGCACCAGAGGCAACAAAGAGACAAAGACACCGCCCTAACCTTTCGTTTTTTCCCGCTAGATGGCACCTGTAAAAGGCTGTCGATGCCCCTGTGTGTTCTGAGGGCTTCTGCTGCCTTTTAATTGCTTTGTCTTTTGGTCCTGTCCCCTCCTGCACCCTGCACAAAAAGGCTCTTGTCATGAGTATGCCCTGACAGCCAAAGGCAGTTCCAGAGCCTCCAGCCTCTTTGGTAATTGGTGTTCAAACACAGTAGTCCTGAGAGCCTTAAAGGTTTTAAACTCATGTTGCTAAACCTGTTACTCAAAAGAAAGTCAAGATTTTTTTTTTTACTTTCACTGGCTTGACTGCTTGAGAAGAGGCTCATTTGTCTAGAGGGTGTGGTTCACACTCAGATACGTTTTGCTATTTTGTGCACAGTGAAATCGTTTCCAAAGGAAGGGTAAGCAAGCCACATTATTCACTGCTCTGATTGCTCCCAGCAGCAGCAGTCTGACACAGCAGTTCCTCCCTCTACCCCACACCCTCCACTGAGAAAATGACCTTTTATTGTGCTCCAGCCTGCTCTGGCAGTGACCATTGCTCACGAGTCTGCAGGGTCCCTGTGGGGCTGGAAGGGGTTAACACAGCAGCAATGCAGTGGTGCCGGAAAGGGTTAACGCAGCAGGGTCATGTGTCAGTCCCTGCAAGCATCGGGATGTGCCCCATGTCCCCTGCTCAGGGCAGGGTGATCAGTGCCCCATGTCCCCTGTGGTCCCTGGCTCTCGGTGGCTCCAGGCTCTGTCCCTGCCCAGCTCCTGCTGGCTCCAGGCTCTGTCCGTGCCCAGCTCCTGCTGGCTCCAGGCTCTGTCC